TCCAAAAACCGGTTCTCCGAACTGCTTAGAAAGTTACCAACCGGTTCTCCCGAATAGGTGCAAACTGGCTGAATCCCACCACTGCATATAAAATACATTAGTTTTTGATCTAAAATTCAACACTACACAGTATTTCTGTAGTCATAAACTGTTTTAATCATCAAATCCCAAAATGAACATAGCATTTCTTTCGGGTTCTAGCAAAAAGTCCAAAACTGGTTTCCGCCTAGAAACACAGCTAGAGAAAATCTTCCCAGGGCCACTTCGGAAAGCAGCAAAGGTGTAGGCGGGTGGGTGGGGGGCTTTCTGGGAAACCCAACAATGTGTTTATGAGATGGCAGCGTCCAGAAGGTCTAAAGTGCTGTGTCTCTATCGGGCCTGCTGCAAGAAAGCCAGGCCTACAGTTATAGGAACTTTAGGAAGACGGGGAATCTCGGGAGTGGAGCTTTCAGTCCCAAGTCCTTCTTCTGCCCCAATGAAAATCATACCCCACCCACCCCCTCCAGTTAAACAGCATAGAATGATAGGAAATGGATAAAAAAGATTGTTATCAAAATCCAAGTGGAAGTGAGGACCCCCACTGCCAGAACCTCCCCCCACCAAAAAAAATGAGAGGCACTGAGGCGGCGATGATGTGTGGCAGTCTCTGCAGCATGGAACAGCTAATTGGGGGTATTCCGCCCGCTGTTTGCTGTTTGCTGCAAGGACACTAGCCAGATTAATACTGATAGATGCTGGTAGGCAGAGGCAGAACCTTTTTTTCTTGTTTTACTCCCCCAAAATTAAGGTGCATCTTATACTCCAGTGAATCTTATACTCCGAAAAATATGGTAGTTAGTTACACCACCACAGTCAGTTTAATTAACTTCACAATCCCTTCTGTAAATTTGATTGTACAACCTCAAACCATCTATGCCCGACCTACACCTAGGGGAAAACTGGCCACACTGCAGAAAACTAAAAATGATTTATCATGCTGGTTTGAAACCTGCCCCCCCATCCAAAGTCCTTTAGTTGTTTTAAATTATTTTCTGAGTCAAGCTTAGAACATCTGAAAATCTTGTATTAAAGGGTTATATGATCAGAATCCTATTTTTGCACTCAGGGCTGATGAGTTGCAAAACAAAAAAAAGATGTCTTACAAAAGAAGTGCGAAAAAAGATCCCTTACAAGAAGAAATCCTACAAACAGGCATTTTGCTCTGAAGCAATGATGAAGCTTACCTCACCCACAGAATTTTATGAGAGGGCCCCAGATGTTCTTCATCGTCAACCTTCTTTTTCCCCTTCACTTCTTTTTCCAGAAATGCCACTTAATATATTTTACTGGAAGCACCTCCAGATGGAACATGGAGTAGTTTATAGGAAGAGATTCAAGACAGGAACACAGTGAGTTGCACTTTCTGGGAAGTTGTAAAGTTGAAACATTTCTAAGACATTCCTCAAAATGAACCCAATGGCTCTGAACGTTAGAATGTGCCAATGTTCAAAAGGCTTTTTTCCTTTGCATCTACCGAAGAATAACATGAAGCGTAACATCTCCTCCCTTAACGAACAGAGACCCATTGGTCCTCACACCATAACAAAGGGAGAGATAAATAAACATTATTTATCGCTTCAGGGTGCTAGTTATTACTTATAAAGCCCTACATGGTATTGGACCTGGGTACTTGAGAGACCGCCTTCTGCTGATTACCTCNCTTGTTGGCTGCTTTGCTATTGCAGGAATAAGTCTGTTGCTCTGCACAGCTGCCTCCACAGAATTCTGGCACCCCAGAATTCTCAGTCTGGCTGGAAGATACAATTTCAACAAAGCTAGAGGTAGCGTTGATAAGAGAGAAGGTAGCGTTGATAAGAGAGAACATCACCAAGCTGCAGAAAGCAGGAGCTTAATTTAGCAAGTAATCAATTCAGGAGATTACTTGACTGGGGATGCACAACCATTAGGTCCTGGACTTAATTTCACGTGGTTATGAAACCAATTTCCAAAATATTCAATAAAGAGTCGATTTAGGTCTGGAAAGAACAAGCTGGCCTGACCAACCATGTGGAGAAGGAAGGGGAGGGGAAGAGAAAGAGAGAGGAAAATGCACCCTGAGAAAGACAAGGGATGAACCCAATCATTTTTTTTTAACCCTGACCCTTTAAAGGACATCCTTTAAAGCTCACTTGCTACTGACACATACTGTTTACACAAAACACTGAGGCCCTGAAGAGGAGTGGGGGGGGAGTCCACCTATGTCATAGATCATCCCACCGAGAGCGAAGGGGCCTCAACACATCCATCATGAAAGACCCTAGTTAGGAAATTCCAGAGAGAAAGAGGGTGTAGATATTCTTTT